CTTCACCAATCCCTATTACTATTTTGCTGTTAGGGCTAATCTGGGCTGAAAGGAAGGCAACATCCCAACAAAAATATTACTTTCCCTCGCACGAGTAGAACTCGTGCCTTCTGTGTGCAATAGCGAAGAGCCCAACCACTGTAGGAGGGCCGCCTGTCTCGATTGTATGAAGGCTGCCATTATTCGCACCCCAGGTGGCAATAATATTTTCTCTTATTCCCAACTTCCTGAGGGGATTTAAACTTATTTTACTCCATTGTTTTTACTAAGGTGCGTGTGTTCTTGTGGGCATGATTTAGTTATACTTTCATTCGCTTTTTTCGCATTTTTCTTTGCTTTCAATGAGATTGATTTGATATGACAGAAAGCGTTCAAAAGCTAAAAAGTGACGTTTTTTCCCTTAACATTATCACTCTCGTTTGAATGTGCTCAATATTTCCAGACCCAGCATAAAATTGTAGCTAGATCTGCCAGTGTCTGAGTCTAATTTTCACCCCAGGTTTAGAGGTCGGCCTTCACCCTGTATTGCATCTATAACACATCTAGAATCTAGATAAGATCTAGAAAGGAAAGATGAGAAGTGACCCAACCCGAGTGGGGAATAACAAAAAGAAGTATTCTGGGAATACTCACTTCCCAGTATGAAACAGGATGAGCTTATTGGGCCCCAAAAAGTCGAATATCAGAAATTCAAAATCGTACACACGACTTTGACTTTTTTGTTTGTTTTGTTTGTTTGTAAATACTATAGCGCTTTGAAGAACAAGTTAATGTAAAATTGGCATGGCTAAAAGAACTCAAGGTTGGTGGCAGCTATTCAAATTGTATTACCCAACTCAGCACGTCTGGGGGTGTGGATAGGGGAAAGATATCTAGACATAGAGGCTATCTGTTGACCATTTCTCTCAAGACAAGCTCGAATTAGCCACTGGTAAATTTGAATAACCCTGTGGCATGTTTCTGGGTCAATTCTTTAGACCTCCAATTCAACATGGAGTTTCAACTGCTCCATAATTTTGGCTTGTTTCTTTAGACTGTCTCCCGCCGCCACCAGACAATCCAAACGCCCCCACCCCCACCCCCCACCCCAAAAAAATCTTCAAAACTAATAACCAAAAGAAAATGTGGTGACCATTCACTCGTCAGATTTCGGCTTATAAGGCATTCCTATGACCATGCAAGGGCTGTTCTTGATGGATGAGATATGACAACATCCTGCTGGAATCAGGCACCTCCAACAGCACGACCCCTTCTCCTTCCCAAACTTCTCCCAAACTCTCTCAGCACAGTTAGACTAGACATCCATACGATGTGACGGTCGTGGCTTTTACCGCACTAATGTGTCGTCGGTGGCCGAGTGGTTAGACTAGGACTCGTTATCGAGAGGTTGCGGGTTCGGGGTTTCGAGTCTGAGGCCCGGCGTTGTGTCCTTGGGAAAGGCACTTTACACGAACCTTCCTCACTTCACCCAGATGGGAATGGATACTCGACCATAGATACCGAAAGACCTTGTCAGTTTGTTAGTGTTTTAACACCTGTAAAATGGCAGCTTGCATTGCATGCCTCCATGACGTTGCGATTGTTTCAGAAGGCTATCAAATCTTCTGGGGTTCTAATAGACTGTAACTCGCACAGAGCTTGCGGTTGAGCGGGAATTTTCACAAAGCAATAAATGCTATCTATCTATCTATCTATCTATCTATCTATCTATCTATCTATCTATCTATCTATCTTCCTGAAGTCAGAGTGGGCTGATCACGCCCCTGTAGATGAACGTTTTGAAGATGTAAAGTTTTGTGTTTTACTCTATTTTGGTCCACTTGTTTAAAAGAAAACAACACCACCAACAATTTTTTTTAAAAAGAACCACTCAAAAACTGGATAATTCTCGGAACGGAGATTGATTTCCGTCATATTACCAAATTAGACGGCCCCTTGGTAGAAGCTTACTTTTGTTTGTTTGTTTGTTTAGTATAGGGTTTTACGGCGCTCGCAACTGCATAAGGTCATATGAGCGCGCGGGACACACCTAATACTTTTTCGTTGGTAGGAAATTTTGAATTTTGCCCGGGTGGCGGCCGAAGCCTACTCTTATCGATTTTAGACCACCAAGGGATCTTTAACGTGCGCAACTTGCACACGGGCCCTCCGAGATTTTTCGCCCTTGTCCGAGAAGGCTAGGTGTAGATCTTTCCTACCAGAAGATCAGGGGTGTGGCAGAAAGACAGCAGTTAGGAGGAGCCAGGGAGTAGCAGTAGAAAGGCTGCAGAAAGAGTCAGGAGCCCAGAGGAGGGGGCAAAGGGGGTGAAGGGGTGGGGGCAGAAAGTGGAAATGAAAGCAGACAATAGAACATTGTTAGAAACAGGAAAGGATGTGAAAGGAGACAATTTTAGAGAAGAAAATTTTTTGGTCGCTACCCGGAATCGAACCCGGGACCTTTGAATGAGAGGCCAACACCTTAACCTCTAGGCCACGAGAGCCCCAAGCTTACTTTGAAGATTAATTGAAAATTGAAATTGATGCAATGATGATCGAGTCATTGCCCTTAACAAGGATCTTTATATTTTACACACCCTGTATGCTGTATGTGTAATTGTGTGTGTATGTTTTTGTGATTGTG